TGAGAGGGTCTACCGTACCGCACCGCACCGCACCAGACTGTTCCTTCTTCTGTTTCCATTTTCGGTTTCCATTGCAGACCCCTGAATCCGTTTCAGGATTATCCTTCGCATCATCCGATTTCGGGATTTCATCCTCTAACGTTGCAGGAACATTCAATTCAGTCACTCGAAAAAACCAGCAAGCTCAAATGCTGGCGACAAATTACGGCTTTAATATTTTTATACAGTTTTATTACTATTTTATACTTTAAAATTTAAATCTGCCAAGTCCGAAGATAAAATTTGACAAACGCTGAAACTATTTATTTTCAAAGACAAAATAATAATTTGATGGTAAAAATATAAAAATATTTTATTCTGGGAACTGAGGATTGGATAATATTGCGAGTGCGCTCTTGTATTGTGAGCTTGTAATATTTTTGTTTTTTTTTTCATGCATCATCTTATTAAACCGTTCTCATTTATTTAACTCACAAATAATAAAAATTTACCACTAATTTAAAAAGTTTTTCTGGCCAATCACTAATTTAAAAAGTTATCCTCATGCTTGGGAAGATATCTTATCTTTTTAAATTTATTATTTAACAAACAAGATAGGGAAAAAGACAGAAAAATGCACCTCCAACTCTAAAAGCCCAGAAACGTCCGCCCAATTCCACAAATCCCATTTTGGTACCATGAGACCAAATTGGGATTATTATGTGAAAGGAAAAGACCACATTGCCCTTCATTTTAAATATTATTTTTAAAATATCACAGCCCCTACTGGCTGACCGGTCACCGGACCTCCGGCAGCGGCGGTCACCGAAGCTCCAGCGGTCGGAATTTTTTTTTTTGAAAATTTTTACAACTTCAATATAACGGTTAACAACTTTTGTAATGCTATTAACAACTTCAGTATAGCAATTAACAACAGCTTTTCTGGAAAATTCAACAAACTCCGACGACCGAAAACAATTATTTTGAAAATTTTTACAACTTTATATAACCGTTAACAACTTTTGTAATGTCATTCACAACTTCAATATAGCAATTAACAACAGCTTTTCTGAGAAATTCAACAAACTCCGGCGACCGGAAACAATTTTTTTGAAAATTTTTACAACTTCAGTACAGCGGTTAACAACTTTTGTAACCCTATTAACAACTTCAGTATAGCGGTTAACAACAACAAACTCAAGCGACCGGAAACAATTTTTTTGAAAATTTTTACAACTTCAATATAACGGTTAACAACTTTTGTAAGCCTATTAACAACTTCAGTATAGTGGTTAACAACAGGTTTTTGAGTTTGTTAAAGGCATTACTGAAGTTATAAAAAAGCCACTTTTTGAATTTTTCGAAAAAATTGTTGTTAACTGCTATATCAAAATTGTTAACCGTTATATTGGAGTTGTAAAAATTTTCAAAAAAACGTAATTGTTAACGTTATACTGAAGTTGAAAATTTTTACAACTCCAATATAACGGTTAACAATTTTATAATGCTATTAACAACTTCAATATAGCAATTAACAACAAGTTTTCTAGGAATTCAACAAACTCCAACGACCGGAAATAATTTTTTTAAAAATTTTTACAACTTCAATATAGCGGTTAACAACTTTTGTAAGCCTATTAACAACTTCAGTATAGCGGTTAACAACAGGTTTTTGAGTTTGTTAAAGGCATTACTGAAGTTATAAAAATGTCACTTTTTGAATTTAAAAACTTGTTGTTAACTGCTATATCAAAGTTGTTAACCGTTATATTGGAGTTGTAAAAATTTTCAAAAAAACATAATTGTTAACGTTATACTGAAGTTGAAAATTTTTACAACTCCAATATAACGGTTAAAAACTTTTATAATGCCATTCACAACTTCAATATAGCAATTAACAACAGCTTTTCTGGGAAATTCAACAAACTCCAGCGACCGGAAACAATTTTTTTGAAAATTTTTACAACTTCAATATAGCGGTTAACAACTTTTGTAAGCCTATTAACAACTTCAGTATAGCGGTTAACAACAGGTTTTTGAGTTTGTTAAAGGCATTACTGAAGTTATAAAAATGTCACGTTTTGAATTTAAAAACTTGTTGTTAACTGCTATATCAAAGTTGTTAACCGTTATATTGGAGTTGTAAAAATTTTCAAAAAAAACGTAATTGTGAACGTTATACTGAAGTTGAAAATTTTTACAACTCCAATATAACCGTTAACAACTTTATAATGCCATTCACAACTTCAATATAGCAATTAACAACAGCTTTTATGGGAAATTCAACAAACTCCGGTGACCGGAAACAATTTTTTTGAAAATTTTTACAACTTCAGTATAACGGTTAACAACTTTTGTAACCCTATCAACAACTTCAGTATAGCGGTTAACAACTTCAGTATAGCGGTTGAAAAAACCTGTTGTTAACCGCTATACTGAAGTTGTAAAAATTTTCAAAAAATTGTTTCCGGTCACCGGAGTTTGTTGAATTTCCCAGAAAAGCTGTTGTTAATTGCTATATTGAAGTTGTGAATGGCATTACAAAAGTTGTTAACGGTTATATTGGAGTTGTAAAAATTTTCAAAATAATTGTTTCCAGTCGCCGGAGTTTGTTGAATTTCCCAGAAAAGCTGTTGTTAATTGCTATACTAAAGTTGTTAATAGCATTACAAAAGTTGTTAACCGTTATATTGAAGTTGTAAAAATTTTCAAAAAAAAATTTCCGACCGCCGGAGCTCCGGTGACCAATTGTCGGCTGGTCGCCGGAGCTCCGGTGACCGCCGCTGCCGGAGCTCCGGTGACCGGCCGGCCAGTTGGGGCTGTGATATTTTAAAAATAATATTTAAAATGAAGGGCAATGTGGTCTTTTTCTTTCACATAATAATCCCAATTTGGTCTCATGGTACCAAAATGGGATTTGTGGAATTGGGCGGACGTTTCTGGGCTTTTGGAGTTGGAGGTGCATTTTTCTGTCTTTTTCCCAACAAGATAATGTACTACTACTATAATATACACATTTATAAAGGAAATCGCCTTCCTAATCCAACCTAAGATCCTAGCCTAAAATTGCATTCAAAAGCTATCAAAGTCAAATATGTGTGGGGACGGCCATACTCGCTTCTTAAATACTACCTCCGGTCCTAATTATAAGACCCAGTTGACTAATTTGAGAAGATTAAGGAAGTAAGTTAAGTTAGTTATTTGTAATAAATAAGTGTTGTTATTTCTAAAATATCCTTACTAATTAAATATATTGGTTATAACTATCATTATTAGAAGGATTATCTTGAAAAAAAATGTACAAATATGATAGATAAAATGGATTGGGGTCTTATAATTAGGACCAAACTAAAAGTCAAACGGGATCTTATATTAAAGATCGGAGGTAGTAGAATAGTACTACTAATATAATGATGATTTGTAATTATTTTTTGAAAGAATTACAATAAGATCCCAAACAAGAAAAACAATTAAAAAACAAGTCCCAGAGGTTGTCATTCTCACTATAAAACTTGTCATTATAAGCTGTTAAGGTTGTTATTAAAACTTTTTAGTAATTATTTATCTTTTATAGGACTTGATTGTAATTCTCTCTTGTTTTTCTCTCTCTTAGTTTTACATCTCACATATAATTTCTTGATTAAAAAATTTGTATTTATCAATAGAAAGATAAAAAGATATACGGACCGCTACACCAATACAAACAAGCTCGAATAGGAAAACCGTCGCAGCAGCGGGCTTCTCTTTCGCGCCACACAGGCTCAGGTTTCCCTCTCTCTTCAACCTCTCGCTCTCTCCTTTCATCCTTTTCCCTAGATTTTCCACTCTTTCAGTTAACACCTATTTCAGCTTTTTTGTTTGTTTGTTTGGTCTTCTCTTTTGAACTTCTATCTTATTTCCATTCATCTTTCTTCCCGCACATTTTTCTGCTTCGGCAATCCAGACATGTTTGTTTACTTTATTCGGGTTCCTTATATGAACATATGTAGCTGGATTTTCGGGCGTTTTCTGCTCGTTAATTGCTCAAATCTTTTTCTGGATTTCACTCACTTTGTATGCGTTACACTTTATTCCCCCCCAGCTGCAATCCTTGGTTGCAATATGTAGTCGTGGCAGTACCCGTACAAAATTCCATTTGGTTGCAATATGTAGTCATAGCCAGCAATTCAACAATTTTGGTCTCTGATTTGTTCTAACCATTTGGATTGTTTAATGGGGCTACCTTGTGATGATAGTTGTTTTTATTATTATTACTGTACCTTTTTATTTCCATTTATTTTGATGGGAGAGAAATTTCCCTTTAACTAATTTCGAAACCGGAAATTTATTTCGCAAACGGATGATAGGCTAAATGCAGTTTAGGGCTTTGCTGCAGCCACTGAAAAGAGGATTTTAGGTTGCCCATTGTTGCTGGTATTTTCATGAGCTTAGCTTGGGTCACTAACGTTCACCTTGAATTTTATAATCCATTATGAATAGACCATAGAGGAATTGGAGCTGGAGAGAGAATATGGTTCGCATTAAGTAACATGTAAAACGAAGATAGTTTCATTTTATGAAGCAAGGGCAAACAAAAGCACATTTACTTGTAAGAGTGTTTGACACTTGTATGAATCACGACACAACACATAAACAGTACTTAACACCTTACAGTTTGTTGTGTCTCTTGCGTTAATGCCAATACTACCTAGCGCTTTTCTTTTACTATTTCTAGCTGCATTTAAGGACGGAACATTTTGCCACACTTCAAGAAAACTAAAATTCATGCTCCGTGCCAATTATTAATCTGATTTTTTTTGACCTGTGAAATCTATCAGTCATAATAATGTAGTGAGAAATAATCCTAACAAGGGTGAATTAGGCCCGTTAATTGATGAACCTAAAAAAAAAAAAAATTATTATTATTTTGCCTGAGGGACAATGCATGGAAAGTGAAGTAGCTTTGGTTTTTGGACTTAGAAGCATCCGTATTTCTTCCTAGCACAATTAAATTATTGGTCCATATGAGCTGACCCAGTTCTTTATCTCGTTCTATAGACATTACTATTAGATTCAACAAGCGGTTGACAATTTAGGCGGCTGCTAAGTTCATATGCTACTTGAGTTTGATGGAGACTGAAGAATCCAACAGATGTGCTACCCCCTGCCAAACTTTGATAACTCAAGATGTCTGTAAACACGCTAAGAACCATGCCAACTAAATTCTCCTATTTGCAGTCTGCTCATATTTACTATATTTTGTCGTTGCCATCTTGTTTGCTGACAGGAAGCTTTGGATAAATCTTTTCCACCACATTGGTCTACTCCCATACAGGTCTAACCAGTATACTAGTTGAATCAAGATATATTAGTATTATTGATTATTGATACTTTATTTCTTATGTATACCGAAAGAGCTAAAGCTCTGAAGTCTTAATCACTTTTAAATAGGAATACCACAATTCCGGGTCTACTGCAACACCTTTTGTGAATTCATATACAGCCGAATTCTCCCTTCATCCTAGCATTTGGACAAATCAGGTAGTATATATGTATATTCGCACTTCTTAGAGCATGTTGCTTGCTCTTCCTAGTAGATTGGAAACTCACGTCCTTTATTTTTGTTTGGTTTTGTTGTCTTTTCTTACAGAAATACGGCATAGCACTTCAATATGAAACTCAGCATAATAACAGGAGTCTCTCCAGTCGTCTTGTTGCATCTAATGTAATCATGAAAACGTTCACTGTACTCCAATTGTTTTCTAAGCATTTATTGGCACTTCCTTTTCTCCTATGGGGTGGGGTAGTATTAGGAATTATAATGGACTCAGTCTACATTCTTTCTGATTGTTACCCCCCCCCCCCAAAAAAAAAAAAAAGAGAGCGAGTGTATTTGTCCATTATCATGTATTCATTTATTCATGCATATCAAATGCCTTTGCATTTTCATCAGGGTGCGGTCTTGACAGTTTCAGAAAGAGAACAATGTATTTCCAATGAGAAGGAAATTGATTCAAGGACATTATGCGATGAGAGCTTACAGCTTGGAAGTATCATTCCTAGGAAATCAAGGGAAAGTGGTAATGGGTCTTCAATGCCCGACAGTGCAAGAGATAGACCGTCGTGTGTGTCGTCAGATGAAGGCCATGGCATTGATGACACTAACAGCAATGTGTGAAGATCTCCACTGAGTTTCTATTCTTGTTGAAATTGACTAATTCTTTGCTTGTATAGTTTGACATTGTTAGTATCTTCTCATGAGATGGTCCAATTCAGTCCCTTCTACTGCAGGAATATTTTATTAAGAAGCAGCGAAGCAATTCGATGCTTGCTAATGGTATGTTTGGAGTTCATATATTTCTATTTGTCAGAGAGATAGAATATCCATAGTCTGATGGTTCATTTCTTGAGTAGGTGATGCTGCTGAGAAGGAGGCTACTGATACTGAAAACTGGAATCCTGATCATGTGAATAGAGATTCTGCATTGGAGGCTGTTGCCGTTAATTCTGCTGAACTGAAGGCCAACTTGCGAAGCAATGTAACTGAGGCTAAGCCCCAACTTTCTAAGCTGGTACTATAAACTTTTCTTTTTGTCCATATCACTCCTTAGTGGCTTTTATAACTACCCTTTCCAGGGTAGACCGTATTTGGTGGATTTACTCAAACGCAGAGAAAATCAAATGAGAAGCCTGGCCAACTGTCACTTTCAACTGCCTACTGCACCAGTACTCACTATTTGAGTACAAACTGAGATGATTTGTTTACGGATTGTCATCTCACTTCCAATCACAAGGCTTGTATACAAGGATTAGCTGCATGTTTAGTGTTAAACATAGAGAGAGAACATAGTTAAGAATACTGAATCTGAACTCCTGTATCAGATGCGTATGATGCTGCACAGAGTAAGGATTGAGAATTGAGATTAATTCATTATTTTTTTCCTCTAGGAAAAAAAATTATCTTCACTTCTGTGAAGGAAAATCTGAAGTAAATATTTAGTCAGGGCATCTATAGTTTATAGTGTAATTAATTCAACTATTTGAATAATATCCTTGATGGGGATGCATCTGCATTCTGCAGCGTTAACTGCCCTGTTATGTTTTTCTGCTTACGGTGCAAATGATCTTCAAAGTAGTTATTTTGGTTCACCTTCTCTAATTTTTCATGTGTTATTTTGATATGGATCTCTCTCGGTGTGCTTCATTCCTCGTTATTTATGAGCATTGGTATGTTATTATCATTGTAAAATTAGTGTTCTGGCTATTGAGACTGCACTGATAATTACTCATGATTAAATTCTTGAGATCCCGTTTGGTACGAAGCATTGAAAATGAGGGATAGGGCTGGGATTGCAATTGAAAAAAACCATTAAAAAAGTCTTTAGAATGAGTAATTATTTGTTATATGGGATTAGGCAAACCCATGGAAGTAAGATTGGGAAATACACCTTTCTCCCGTAGTATTTCTCAACCCACATACATGGGTTTGTCTAATCCCATATAATAAGTAATGTCTCATGCTAAACACTATTTTTTCAATCTCAATTCCAATCCTTATCCCTTATTTTCAATGCTTCGTACCAAACGGTACCCAAGGTTCCTCCGGTCAGTTCCTCTTTGCACTGTTGCTGTTTCCTACTAGGCTGCATCTCTTTCTGTAGGAAGAGGACGAAATAAGAAGAGAAAGAAAAAGACAGTTAAACAGGGAATCAGCGCGAAGATCAAGAATACGCAAGCAGGTATGCATATATTTGATGTATGTGAAATATTGCTCGAAGTGGTTTTATTTTCTCCCCATAGCCCAACATTTACAATATTTGTATTATGGTAGTCCTGCTTGTCTTCCACACATAAACTGGTTCTGCCAATTTTTATAGCATTCACAAGTGATCAAAAGGCATGTTATTTTAGTTTCCTTTATTGATGATCGAACTTCTAGCCATAGTAATGAAAAATTATGAGCACTCAACAAGGCTGCAGAAGCCTTCCCCCCCCCCCCCCCCCCAAGCAAGAGGGAGCTAATAATGTATTAAAACATTTATGTAATTGAACTCCATGCATGTGTTTAGAACTGCCGGCACCGTTTTTCTTTTTCAAGCAAGAGGGAGCTAATAATGTATTAAAACAGCTAAGGACATCTATTGTGGCCACTGTAGAATTATTGTTGTTGTTATATAAGTAGCAGTTTTTACAAAAAGCATTGTATTTTTTTAATGTTGGTCCATCGTTTGATGCTTTACTTATTTGTTTTTTCTCAAAAACTTGCAGCAAGAACTTGAAGAACTACAAAATACTGTGGACAATCTTATCCGCGAAAATTCCGCACTGAAGCGAAAGCTAATGAGACTTTCCGAGGATTGTATGGAGCTCTCTGGTTCAAACGACTCCATTGAGGTTTGTCATTTAAACTCTAGCTGTCATTTACCATTTTCAAATTATTAAAGTAGTTTATAGTCATGTCAAATAACCAAGGTTCACTTCTCTCTGCATCACTTTCTTCTTGTAAAACAAATCTAATCTTGAATGCAATTTGAAATTACGATTATCTCTAGATAAATTGAGATTCTCACTTGAGAAGTCATTTGGCTGTTTCATCTCTTTGTTTTTGTTTTTTTTTTTTCGGTGGGGGGTATATTGCCCTGTATAAAAGTATTGCAATATTAAAATCCTCGTATTTGGTGTAACAACTTGAAGTTACTATAGAAAAGACACACTGATATTTTGCAGACCCGGATAAAGGTAAAGGTACTGGGGGTGTAAAATCCTCTTCACTTTTGGATGATGTCAAATACTGTTGAAAATGTTGTCGTCTTATTGCTTATGGTGCTTTCGTATCAGTGTTCCATACACATGTTTCGATCAACATGACGGACGATAAATGCTTCCGAATTTTTTATTACTAACGTGATAGTTTCAATGTATTTAAGACCAAAAAGCTTATAGATTTACTGTTACATTCTCTAAACTTAACTGTTGTCTTTTTAATAATTAAATAACTCGTTCTTGTAACCCAAAAGAAAGAAAACAACTCAATCTAAAGGAGTAAACAAGAGCAAGCTTAGAATTTTAACTCGAACAGCATCTTTTCCAAAAACGACCAGAGTAAGCTCCCCCCCCCCCCCAAAAAACCCCTTTCTAAGATTACTGCTGCTAATTCCATTTTCAAAATTTCGTTTTTGGGGTGATTGGTGGTTGGACAGAGAGGTCTCATTGAGGAGTATGGACCAGAAATGATTGCCGATCTTGTGGCCACCAAGCCAGGTAGAATCACTTCTGAAGTAAGCCCAAAGATAGTGAAGGAAGCAGCCGATCAAAATCCATCAATTGAAGTTACCGGCCAGTGTTAACTCTAGTTACTGGATAGGGCCATATATTTTTTGCCTTTTATTAATATAATTTTTTGTTCTTTAAGTTTATTCTTATTTTAGTTTTGATTTCTCAAGTTTCAAACTTAATTTTTTGTCCCTCAAGTTTTTTTTTCCATTTAAAATATTAGTTCCTATAATTTAATAAAAACCTAGACCATTTTGTTCATTAAGGGGATCAAAATCTATGATTTGAAACTTGATGAACTAAAACCAAAATTGATACAGACTTGATGAATCAAAAATTATATTAATCTTTTTATTTAACGACAGAAGAATGTTGTAAGTATATTATTTTATTAATTATTCATTCTCATAGACTAGATGTGATGGTTTGCGGCTTAGATTGTAAAATCTCCAAAGTAGAAAGTAAAAAATAGAAACCATTTTGACATTCTCGCTTCTCTAAATCTAATTTCCACAAAACGTATTTATTTAATTTTGTAGTTGTTCATCTGCTTTTATTTTCATCTGTTTAAACACAATCCCCTTGATTTTGCTCCAAAAAAAAAAACACAATCCCCTTGAAATTCTTTATTGGGTTTGCTTTATGAGATGTGGATTTTTTTTTCTTGTGCTCAAATAAGGCATGAGGGACCCTGCAGTGACATACAAGATTTAGGTGCATAACCTTCACAACTGAAAGACCTGGTTCCTTTGACAAATCGCCAATGATGACACTTTCTTTCAGTTGTTTTGCAAAACATAGAGCTTTTTGTATATCAACGGCTCAATATAGCTCATACGAATTTGCCCTTTCAAAATTAATTTGAAGTTGACGAGATAGAAGGAAGAGAAATCAAGAGAAGGCTTAAAAAGAAAATCTTGACCATAAAAACTAAAAAGTCAATTGATGGGGTTTGTATGTCATACCAATAAATTGCAACTAATCCCAATTTGAAGAAGGGTTGAAATAAAACGAAGAAAAGAAAGAAAGCAGGAAAAAGCACAAACATATTTGAAGGGGGCAACAGACTTCACCCAGCCGTGCCATCAGGGAAAGGTTGGAGAGCATCTTGCTTCCCATTCACGTAGTACTCAACAATGGCCTTCATTCGCGGAAGCTTATCTGGGTGGTAGTTTACGTGAATAATTACCGGTCTAAATTTTCTGAGATTAGCATCCTTCCTCACAGTCTTGAATAGAATGTTGCTGTTCATGAAGAGGTAGATATCCATTGTTCTTTTGGAAGCATGAAGCCCGATGTAGCCAGGATGTGAGGGATAAAAGAGTTCTTCTATTGAAAACAGCCTGGTCCCAAGCCCTCTGCATGGAAAGTCGGGTGGCCACACGATCGAGAAGTTCGATTGAAGGGATTGTGGGTCTGATATAGAAGAAACCAGAGTTATAAACCCATATCCTCACAGTATGAACATAACGAGACCAACCCATTGTAGCGTCATCAAAGATGTCATTATACATATAAGCAGTCATATTATTATGACCATCACTCATGGACTCTATATCTGAATCCCGGATCAGATGATCAAAAGGATTTTGCAGATAGATAATGTCAACATCTGATAGAAGAACACCATATCCGAGCTGCAGAAATTCTCTAAGCACACGAAATTTAAGCCCAGAAACCGCATGATTGTCTCCATTTCTTCCAATGGAATCAATACCTTCATCTGGATCTCTCTTGTACACTGGAACCTGTCTTGACTCGCAAAATTTTGAGATTTCTTCATCTAAAGCAACCACCAGATAATTGGTTATACCAACTCTCTTTATGCCGGTGAACCAAATTTCCAGCATCTCCTTCACGTTGGCATTTGCAAGGGCAACTATAAGCTCTCTTTGAATTGCTACTTTCTCTAATATCTTTGCTAATCTTGGGTTCACAGATTCATCAGGAACAACAGTAGGGTTAGTTCTTAATCCCTTAACAGTACCAAAAGGTCCAGCTTTAGGCCGTTGAGCCAATGCAAGAGACTGATTTTGAGCCTGATCACTCTCTTGCTTTGCTAGCTGAAGCCTTTCAGTCAACTCCCTGACCTGTTTTTTGAGCTGAGTGTTTTCCTCTGATATTGCCGCAAACTCTGATTTCAACATGTTGACTTGATTTGATGATTCGCATTCAGTTGAATTTGCCTGCCATAAGAAGGCGTTGTGAAAAAGAAGCATATAAAGCAAGGCATGAGGGGACCTTTTTAATAAGTTTTTGATCTTTTATTTATTTGGATTAATTTATATCCAGTACTAAGCCTGTTTATAGCACGGAACAGAACTGGGACAAGTGTGTCCCCATCCCATCCCTGTGAACATAGAAATGATAGAAAATCTGTCTTGTGTCTCGTCCCATCTCATCCTGGTGTTGTTTCGATCCTGATCAAGACAAGACAGGACAGGGATGTCCCGTTTTGCTTTTAAAAAAAAAAAAAAAATTACCTTGTGGTTAGACTATTGTAATGAATTTTTATTTCTTTTCCTTTGAAGTTTTAATTTTTTGGGCTTAGCCTTTTTAAAAGCATCTTTTTCTTTTTTTCCTTTAATTATTTTTTTGGCTTAGCCATCTTAAATAAAAGCCCCAATAAATAATAATAAGTAACATAGTAACTCTAAAATTCATTTTCTTCGTTCCAAAAATCATAAGCAATTATAGAAACTCTAAATAAATTATAAACATTCAATTACATATACACTAAAAGCTACAAATATAAACATTTTGTATTGCATATGTTTTAAACATTTTGTGTTTTTAACATTTAATAATTATAAAAAATATTACTACCAGGATGGGATTGGGATGGGACGATACCTCATCCCATCCCATCCCGATTCTATTTTTTGTCTCGTCCCAGTTTGTCACGGGTCCGTCTCATCCCAATATAATCGGAGTCGGGACGAACTATTTTGAACACCCCTATCTAGTACTTGGAATTTTTTTAGCAACACTATCATCTTAAATTAATTAATTTTTAGTATATCGAACACTTTAAAATATTTTCCCAATAGCACAGTATTTTAAATTTATTAATTTTTAACACGTTCAGTAATATTTTTTTCAATAACATTAAATATCATAAATTCATTTATTTTTATTGCATTCAATATCCCAAGTATTTTTTTCAATAGCACCCATATCCTAAATTTAATTTATTTTTAGTGTATCTAACATCCTGAAGTATTTTTACGATAACACACAGTATCCTAAGTTAATTAATTTTTCATATGACAGCATACTAAAATATTTTTTAAGCAATACTCACTAACTGGGAAAAAAAAATCTGGATGTGCTAAAAATTAATTAATTAATAAAACTGAATGTTATCAAAAAAAATATTTTAGAATTATGAATACAACAAACAAATATAAAATAAAATAAATAAAATTTTCTTTTCAAAAAAGAAAGATAGGTGTATGATCCCCAAACGCTGCCGTGCGTTCTGGGGGATGAGCATTCTGCTTTGGCCCCTCCCTTGAGCCTTGGAAATAGAAAGCATACGAAGTGCTATTTTAGCCCCAGCAGACCTATGTGAATTCACCTATACACAGACATTGCATATGAAAGCAACTTATCTAACCTCTCAACTATTTCATCATATGTTAAAAGTTCAGATCCATCCATTCATTAGATTCATCAGACAAAGAAACTACCAGTTAGACAAAAGATCTGGATACCAGAGTGACATGATCTCTAAGCAGAAAACCTGGGATCATGTACCAGTTGCATTAGAATGCTAGCATAAAAAGTAAGGAGAAATTCTTGCCACGTCATCTATGCTCTCTCTAATAAAAATGCTCCAGTTGTCTTTTTTACGAGTCCCATATATTTCTATCCATGATAATGGGTCATGAAGAGAAATTTGTGGGCTGTGAGAAACGTAAAAAGAACACCTAGAAGATTTTCATTGGAGAAAGTATGAATGAAGTGACAGTTCCCGAGCATGCAAGGGTTTTCTCTGCATTGGAAATAATGCCAATTCAATGAAGTCTCTATGCAGAAATAAAGACGGAAAGAGCCAGAACGATGAAACATAGCAGAACCTGAATGTTGGATTCCAGGAGATTGTTATTGCCAAAGGGGATTGCATTAGAAGTGAAGAAGCCACTGGGAAACATAAAAGCAAAGACATATCCAGCCAAAAACCCGATGGCCATAGTTGCAAGGACCCTGGATATGTGTAAAGAATGGACATTGTTCCCCATCACGGCCTCTCTCCTCTTCCACCTCAACCTTTAGGTGTCTTTTATAGGGTTTTGGGAAATTAATGGCATCGAATTTTGACGTTGAGGAGGGCTGATCTGGACTGCCCATATTGACATTTCTACATCTTCTTCTGACCTGGGAAGCAGCTTTCATGCTCATTACATTGATGAGCGTGAAACGTGCTCCCCAGGTAAGAAGATGTTAGGTAAAAATGTCAATATAGTGCTCATCTTTAATTTATTTAAATTATTCAGATTGGTTTTAGATGGTCCACCTATTTAGTTTTATTTTTTTTACATACTGTGATTAATTTTTTATTTTAATAGACACAGAATTTAAAATAAAGAAGATTTTATTGCTAACACTTTTTAAAAAATTATATTTATCATTGACAAAAATTACATATTAAAAACTTTCAAATAAAAATATTCATGTCCGATTACAATTGATAATATGGGGTACTAGCAAACTTTAAACATGGAAAAGGCTACAGCATAGTATGCCCAATTATAATTGATAATACGTATAAGGCTAAAACTAAAATATTATTAAAATAAAATATTTTAAATACTCCTCCGGTCCTTTATATAACACCTATTTAACTAATTTGATTAGATTAATTAAGAAAGTTAGGTAAGTTAGTTAATTATAAGAAATATGGCACGTTTTTCCTAAAATACCATAATCATTTTTCTAAATACCCCTTTTCTTCTTCTACTTGATTATGGTTGAGGGAGTATCCATAGGGCAATTTAGAGAAAATTGATAAATATGATAAATGAGTCTTATATTTAAGATAAAAACCAACTCAACAATTGGGTCCTATATTAAGGACCGGAGGAGTACTTGCCTGATTCTTTCATTCACAATTCTGCATTAAAAAGAAATCGGTCAATTTATCCCAAGCTAAACTAGGTTGGATTTTAACCTAAATTTTTTTTGGCAAGTGTTTTAATGCCTTTTTAAGTATACCAAACTCTCCCTAAGTTAGGCTTCCATATTAAGATTATTAAATGCTCCGCACACATGGATTACTTCAAGCACAGTGCGTATGTTGTAATGCACAGTTACAGAGCATGTCCCAAACATCTAAAAAAGAAGGGTTATTTTATCATACCAAAGGAAAAAAAAACTATCAAAGAAAATCTTACTTGACCATAAAAACTAAAAAGTCAATTGATGGGGTTTGTTTGACTCATACCAATGAATTGCAACTCATTCCAACTTGACTAAGGGTTAAAATAAACGACAAAAAGAAAGAAAGAAGAAAAAACCACAAACGTATTGGAAGGGAGTAACAGGCATCAATTAGGCATGCCATCAGGGAAAGGTTGGAGAGCATCTTGCTTCCCATTCACATAGTACTCAACAATGGCCTTCATTCGTAGAAGCTCATACCAATGAATTGCAACTCATTCCAACTTGACTAAGGGTTAAAATAAACGACAAAAAGAAAGAAAGAAGAAAAAACCACAAACGTATTGGAAGGGAGTAACAGGCATCAATTAGGCATGCCATCAGGGAAAGGTTGGAGAGCATCTTGCTTCCCATTCACATAGTACTCAACAATGGCCTTCATTCGTAGAAGCTCATACCAATGAATTGCAACTCATTCCAACTTGACTAAGGGTTAAAATAAACGACAAAAAGAAAGAAAGAAGAAAAAACCACAAACGTATTGGAAGGGAGTAACAGGCATCAATTAGGCATGCCATCAGGGAAAGGTTGGAGAGCATCTTGCTTCCCATTCACATAGTACTCAACAATGGCCTTCATTCGTAGAAGCTTATCCGGGTGGTAGTTCACGTGAATAATTACCGGTCTAAGTTTTCTAAGGCTAGCATCCTTCCTCACAGTCTTGAACAGAACCTTGCTGTTCATAAAGAGGTAGATATCCATTGTTCTTTTGGAAGCATGAAGCCCAATGTAGCCAGGATGCGAGGGATAAAAGAGTTCTTCATTGAAAACAGCCTTGTCCCAAGCTTTCTGCCTGGAGAGTCTCGTGGCAACACGATCCAGAAGTTCAATGGAAGGGATTGTGGGTCTAATATAGAAGAAACCAGAGTTGAAAACCCATATCCTCACAGTATGAACATATCGAGACCAACCCATTCACTACTAGAAAAAACACTTTTAACGTCGCAAACTAACGGCGGTTCAGCAGAAAAACGAAGTGGAAAAAACCGCGGTGGCATTTTTGTAAATAAGTGGAAGAGAGTATGACTTTCCATGGCGGTTTTTAAGAAAACCGCCGTGGAAAGTGTGTCTTCTAACCCCCCGCGGCACTCGACTCTCTCACTTTCTTTCCCATTTCTTCAGTGCGCCGTGGTCCCCCTCTGCCCCACCACCGTAAAATTGCCATTCCCGCCACTATCCCACCGTTTAAACTCCTCCATTGAGCTCTTGAAGCCTTGCCGCCGTGCGCCGTAGTCCGTTCTTGCTCAGCCGTGGTTGACCGCCTCCCATTTCTGTCCGTTCTTGCTCAGCCGTGGTCCACCACCGAAAACCGGCCGGTCCTACCCCCCACTATCTAACCGAAAACCGGTGCGTTGCCATCGTCCGCCACCGCCTCACTTCGCGTTTGAAGCTTCTCTGCTCTGTGAGTATCCTCTTCTTTCATTCTTTTCAATTTTTCTTGGTTTGTTGAATGTTTTAGCCATGAAAATCTGTTATATATAAAATGGGGTTGTTAGTTTTACATTGTGGTTGGCTTGTATTGTTCATTTTGCATTTTTTATGTGGTTGAACCGTTGATTGGTGTTAATTGGTAGGCATTAGATGTGAGAAAACCTTAATTCCTTTTTATATACTGTATTAGAAATATGTTTAAATGTTTGGAGTTGATTAGTTGTGAAGTTTTTAAATTTTTTTATAATTTTTTGATATTTATTTCGAATTTTTGATAATTTTTTTGTAATAAATATAAGAATTTAGTGATAAATAATCTGTTAGTTATTTTGTGTTTTTTTTTCCTTCGTTATGAATTTTGATTGATAGTAAAGTATTGTTTAAATAATCTGTAGAACAATGGATCGTAGTTGGATGAAAGCTAAGAGAATTAGCAAGGAATATGAGGATGGGGTTGAAAAGTTTCTTGAGTTTGCTCAGAGAAATGCCCCTAGTAAAGGAGATGGATTGTACTATTGTCCTTGTGTCAAATGTTTAAACAATAGTCGACGGAGTATTTCTGAGATAAAAGAGCATCTTATCTGTGATGGGATAAATTTGAGGTATACAAATTGGATATGGCATGGAGAAATTAGAAAGACTACACTGTCTGCAAATGAGAAGGTTGTGAATGAAGACTTTGGTGATAGAATTTCGGATATGTTTCGTGATATAAGGTCTGAATCCTCTACACAGTTTTCTTCCACCTTTGAAACTTTGTGTAGTGATGCAGAGACACCTTTATACCCGGGGTGCAAAGATGATTACACAAGATTGACAACCGTATTGAAATTGATGACTTTGAAGGCAAGAAATGGTTGGACCGATGCTAGTTTTACGGAATTGCTTGAATTGCTGAGTGATATTCTTTCCAAAGGGAATTCACTTCCGAAACGAATGTTTGTGGCCAAAGAGACTTATTACAAAGCCAATAGTGAAGAAGGCGGCAGCAAAGAAGGCCACAACGAGCGCATCATCTGATCCTGTACTCTTGCCTCTTCCTAGTGATGTTACGCTTATGTATTTCAGTTTGGAGGTTCTTCATTTCATGGTGCCAAACATGGATAAGCCTGTGACTTTCAAGATGCCGTTGGGGGTTGTGGGTTCAGATATAACATACGACTTCACCATTGACAAGAGGGACCTCATTCAGTTCCTCAACTTTGAGGAGCTTGATATAGCCTTCATGCAGCTTGCTATTTTGTAAGTTACAATATCATTTTCTTATTACATATTATACTTCATGCATGTCCTAATGTTTTTTACTTGAACAACAGGCATTTTAATCAAATCTGTCGAAACGGAGGACTTGAAAGAATATATGGCTTTATGTGTCCTCAAAGGGTGCAGAAAGAATTTAATACTGTGGAAGCAAGGTCAATCTACATTATGACCGCAATGAGTCAGACCAAAAAGCTAATATATTTTGCACCTTACGTGGAAGGGTAAGTGTATTATTGTATTTGAGATATACAAGTTGTATGTGTCGGGTTATAATTAACATGGTTTGCCTTTTGCAGTTATCATTGGACTCTAATTGTTTGTGCCCCTTTTGACAACAAAGTTTACTGGTTCGATTCACTCTGTGGAAGTCCATCCGAAGAAACCAAAGATGTCATCGACACGTTATTTTTTATTTATATATTTATTACTTGTGAAGTTTATACAAGCATGCTCTAATACCATTTTCTCTTATAATATTGATAGGGCTTTTCATTCTTTTAATGTCGTGGCGATTAAACAAACTAGACAAGCACCAACATGGATTCTTCCACAGGTATATGTTGTTTTAAACTAACTTTTAAACATTTTTTGATGAATTAAAGTTAATGTTTATAATCAATAATGTCTAATATTCAATTTTATATCTTATTTTTTTAGTACCGTTGTCAACAAGGACATGTTGAGTGTGGATATTATGTCATCCGCTACATGAATGACATAATTGAGACAGCAACGATAGAGAAATTAGACGAGGTAAAGATGAGTTACGTTGCATGACGTTCTTCAATTTATTTCACATTTTTGACTAAGTTTACTATGTTATTTTTGATTAACAGATATTTCAAAATACTGCGCCATATCTCATGGATGACATCAACTTGATGAGGGACACTTTGTCAACAACATTGGTAGAAAAAATTGAAATTTAGCTTTCAAATAGATAGGTTGTTTCTCAAAAAATTCATTGTTAGATGCTTTCTCTCGGTTCCCTCTTATATTGTTCATGATTTCCATTGTACAAAGAAGTAGTTACTTCTATTTCAGAATTGTTGGACCTAGCCAATACGTGTTCCTTGGTAACCACTTAGTTATATTATATTGGCCGGTTTCCCTATTTTCGAATTGTGTAAAAAAAATTTCATTGCTGTATATATTAACTAGCTAATTGATCTTGTTCTGCGTGATCTGCACTGCCTACATTTGTTTGGAACTGTAAACTGCAGGGTGGTCAACACGAAAATAAAGCAGAATTAAAAAAAAACATTTTTAACGGCGGTTATACATATAACCGCCGTTAAAATCCTTTTCCACGGAGTTTTATTTATAAACCACCGTGAAAAGTGGATTTTCCATGGTGGTTTTACATTTAACCGCCGTGGAAAGTCCACTTTTCACAGCGGTTAAAAACCGCTGTGTTTTCCTTACCTTTCAACGTCGCCTTTAACAACTTCGCCTTCAAAACCGCCGTTAAAAGCCACTTTTAACCACCGTTAAAAGCCTTTTTTCTGGTAGTGATTGTAGGGTCATCAAAGATGTCATTATACATATAAGCAGTCATATTGTTATGACCATCACTCATGGACTCTATATCTGAATCCCGGATCAGATGATCAAAAGGATTTTGCAGATACACAATGTCAACATCTGATAGAAGAACACCATATCCTAGCTGCAGAAATTCTCTAAGCACACGAAATTTAAGCCCAGAAACCGCATGATTGTCTCCATTTCTTCCAATGGAATCAATACCTTCAGCTGGATCTCCCTTGTACACTGGAACATGTTTTGACTCACAAAATTTTGAGATTTCTTCATCCAAAGCAACCACCAGATAATTGGTTATACCAACTCTCTTTATGCTGGTAAACCAAATTTCTAGCATTTCCTTCACTTTGGCATTTGCAAGGACAACTATAAGCTCTCTTTGAATTGCTATTTTGTCTAATATCTTTGCCAATCTTGGGTTCACAGATTCATCACGAATAACAATAGGGTTAGTTCTTAATCCCTTAACAGTGCCAAAAGGCCCAGCTTTAGGCTGTTCAGCCAATGCGGGAGACTGATCTTGCGCCTGATCACTCCCTTTCTTTGCCAGCTGAAGCCATTCAGTCAACCCCTTGACTTGTTTTTTCAACTTAGCATTTTTCTTTGATACTGCTGCAAACTCTGATCTTAGCATGTTGACTTGATCTGATGATTTGCATTCAGTTGAATTTGCCTGCCATAAGAAAATGTTGTGAAAACGAAGCACAAAAAGTAGGGCATGAGATCGGAGGGACCCTTTTTTTATAAGTTTTTAATCTTTTATTTATTTAGGTTAAGCTATATCTAGTACTTGAAATATTTTTTAGCAGCACCCTCATTTTAAATTAATTAACTTTTAGCATACCCAACACTTTAAAATATTTTTTTTCAATAACTTAGTGTTCTAAGTTTATTAATTTTTAATACATTTAGTAATTATTTTTTTTAGTAACACTGAATATCATAAATTCATTTATTTTTATTGCATTCAACATCGTAAGTATTTTCTTAGTAGCACCAATATCCTAAATTTAATTTATATTTAGTGCATCTAATATTTTAAAGTATTTTTACTATAACACCCAGTATCCTAAATTAATTGATTTTTAATACGCTCGGCATACTAAAATATTTTTAAAGTGATACTCACTCACTAAGAAAAGACTCGGGTGCGCTAAAAATTAATTAATTTATAAAACTGAATACTATTGAGAAAATATTGTAGTGTCCTGAATACAACAAACAAACAATAAAATAAATAAAGTTTTCTTTTCTTTTGTTTTTTGTTTTAAAAGAAATATGTCTTTCTATTCTAGATGTAGCTTTCTATTCAAGGAGCAAGCCTCGAATGAAAGGAAAGACGCAAAGGACAGCTTCTTCAGAGCATGCTTAGATCATGATCTTAGCAAGTTGCGTAATATCTACAAGCTTGTACCTAATGATCGAGGAAACAAAGTACAGGTCGATGAATCCTTTGTCAAATTAGAGACGGATGGCTCTGTGCTGCGAGATGGAAACAGTAGTTGCGGCGGTGCCATTAGAGATCACTGGGATCCCTGGATCAGTGGTTTTTGTTCCAAACTTGCTAACGTACCGCCGGCTATAGCAGAAATTATGGGTATGCTACATGGTTTGAACCTCTGTTGGAGTAAAGGTTTTAGGAAGATTTGCTTATACTCGGACTGCATTGAGGCGATAAATCTGGCCACGAGAGGTTGCGAGGATGATTACCCCTTCAAAGACTTAATTGATGATATTAGGATAATTATTCATAGAGACTGGCAGGTTGTTTTTTGTCATGTGGATAGGGAGTTAATCCCGTTGGCTGATTTCTTAGCTAAACTATCTCATAGGATGGATCGTAAATTTTGTATCCTTGACCACCCTCCTCCTCTTAGCTCTGAGTTGGATGGTGATGAAGGAGAGTAGGGAGTATCACTACTTGTTGCCCTTGTACTGGGTTGGTTGTTGAACTAGCAGATCAGCTTTCATTCAAAAAAAAAAAAAGACAAAAAAGAAAAGACATCTCATCCCCAAACGCTGCCGTGCGTTTTGGGGATGAGCATTCTGCTTCTGCCCCTTCTTTGAGCTTTGGAAATAGAAATTATACAAAGTGCTATTTTAGCCCCACCAAACCCATGTGGATTCATATGAAAGCAACCTATTTGACCTCTCAACTATCATTCATCATGTGTTAAAAGTTCAGCTTCATCCATTCATTAGATTCATTAGACAAATTAAAGAAACTGCCCGTTTGACAGAAAGATCTGGAAACCTGAGTAATTTGATCTCTAAGCAGAAAACCCTTTTTTTTTTGGGGGGGGGGGGGTTGGTTTTCAGTTTTTTAAGGTCAAAATATCGAGTGGGAACCGATCATGTACCAATCGCATTAGAATGCTAGCATAAAAGGTAGGGAGAAATTCTTGCCACGTCATCTATGCTCTCTCTAATAAAAACGTTCCAGTTGTCTTTTTTTTGTGAGTCCCACATATTTCTATCCATGATAACGTACGGGTCATGAAGAGAAATTTGTGGGCTGTGAAGAAACATAAAAGAACACCTAGAAGGTTTTTATTGGAGAAAGTATGAATGATGTGAGACTTCCCGAGCATGCAAGAATTTCTCTGCATTCGAAATAATGCCAATTCAATGAAGTCTCTACGCAGAAATAAATGCGGAAAGAGCCAGAACGATCAAATATAGCAGAACCTGAATGTTGGATCCCAGGAGACTCTCATTGCTAAAAGAGATTGCATCAGAAGTGAAGAAGCCGCTGGGAGACATAAAAGCAAAGATATATCCAACCAAAAACCCGATGGCCGTAGTTGCAAGGACCCTGGATATGTGTAAAGAATGGACTTTGTTCCTCATCATGGCGTCACTGCTCTTCAACCTTAACCTTCAGATGCCTTTTATAGGGTTTTGGGACATGAATGGCATCGAATTTTAAGGTTGAGCAGGGCTGATCTTCAACGAAAGGGACTGCCCATATTGATATTTCTACATCTCCTTCTGACCTGGGAACGAGGTTTCATGCTCATTACATCGATAAGCATGAAACGTGCTTCCAAGGTAAGAAGATGTTAGGTAGAAATGTTAATATGGTACTCATCTTTATTTAAATTGCTCAGATTAGTTTTAGATGATCCACATTTAATTTGTTTTTTTACAATGCTGTAATTAATTTTTTATTTTAATAGATACAGAATTTAAAATAAAGATAATTTTATTGCTAACACTTTTTTAAAAAAATAATTTTATCATCGAAAAAAAATTACATATTAAAACTTTCAAATAAAAATATTCACGTCGGCTTGCAACTGATAATATGGGACCAGCAAACTTTAAACACTGAAAAGGTTACAGCATATTACGCCCAATTATAATTGATAATACGTACAAGGCTAAAAGTAAAATATTATCAAAATAAAATATTTTAAATAGTTACCTGATTCTTTCATTCACAGTTCTGCATTAAAAACAAACCGGACAATTTATCCAACCCACGCGGCTAGCCAGATTTCCCAAGCTAAACTAGGTTGGATTTTCACCTGAAAAAAAAAAAACAGGTGTTTTAAGTTAGGCTTTCACATTAAGATTGTTAAATACTACACAAACATGGATTACTTCAAGCGCAGCGCGTATATTGTAATGCACAGTTACGGAGCATTCCCCAAACATCTCAAAAAGAAGGGTTATTTTATCATTAAAAAAAACTATAAGAGAAAATTTCAGATAGCCCCCACAGAAAAAATATAATTTCCAATGGCGTTTTTTTTTTTTTAAAGTTGGTCTATCATTTGATGTTTATTTATTTATTTATTTTTTCCTCAAAAACTTGCTGCAAGAACTCAGAGAACTACAAAAAACCGTGGACTTATCCATGAAATTCCACCCTAAAGAAAAGTTAATGAGTAAAAAAGAACTTAATTGAATTATTGGAGGATGCATAACTCCACAATAACGTGCTCTCTCTCTCTCTCTCTCTGGGGAGAATTATAATAAGATCCTACAAAATAATGTGCTCATGGGCCTGGACCATTTTTAAATTAAAAAAAATAGATAAACTAATATAGAAAAGAAAAGAGATAAAATATTGTGGCGGAATTTATAAGTAATTTATTTATGAGAATAAAAGGAAAAAAAGAAAGCAAAAGGGATTTATGCGCAACGCAAGTTCGCTCACACGTCCCCCTTCAGCTTTTTTTTCATACGCTTTTTTTTTTTTTTAATGAGCTGAAACATTCACGAATGTGTTAGGCCTATATATATGATATTTCTTCAAAGCTCGATAGAATAAGCTCATAAAAAGCCCCAAAAACCTATATTCAAGGCTCGATAAGCTTTTGAAAAGACACCGGAGACACCATGGATTCTATTATACGTACATACAGATATATATATATACACACGAGTATATATATATTTATATAACAGGCCATGGATTCTATAGCTTACGTTTACGGTAAGATTCGGTTCTTGTTTGTCATAATTTCAGTTTAAATTTCTCCCCTTGAAATTTTAGCATTCCGATACCCCCATTTTAATCTGATTCGATCTGTCGATGGAAATCTATGGAGTGTTAGTTTGCCTTTACAAAGAATGCTTGGATAAACTTGGGGGGAAAAACTCAGTTCTAAAAAAACTCAATAATTTAACCGCTCGCTGATTTAGTAAGATGGTAAGAGATGTTCTATGATAAAGATAAAAAAATAATAATAATAATTCGTCATGATCCACTGGGCAACAAATATAATATTTTGGCTGTCATGACCAACGAATATATCAATTTAAAACCTTGAGTTTGAGGAGTGTGAATTATTGCAATGGATTTTAGCATAGAATACAACAACATGGGACCTTCCCTTTCAGTTCGTTCTGCCTTCCCTTGCGATCTGATATGCTTTTTATACTGATGTTTTTGAGATTTCATAGTTTTCGAATCTGCAGTATCAGCAGGTCATTGCCACTAAGGCAGTCTCAACTATTTTGTCCTCACATGATGGTAGCTCTGTTTTCCTTTTGCGGGTGACAGAAGCAACTTCACTAAGCTTGCTTTCCTGAATGTCCACTTATCTTCTATGAATCACTCAAATTTGTGTTAACATAACTTCGGATTTTAGGAAATTGTTTCTATTTCTCAAAGGTTTAGGCATGCAAGATATCACTGATATTTGACTCAATTTTAATAACTGTTTTTGATTTTTTAAGTCTTCTATTTCACTTTTAAATCAGGGCTACTTACTCCCTTTCAAGTCATTTTCTTGGTGGCCTCTTTCATTGGAATTTCTTCGTTTATAGCCACCTTTGATTGTACACAACATAAGAGTGACCTTTGGTAGTCAATCCAATCTCGAATTGATGTGCTACCTCTAGTCCGAAATACAAGATATAGTTTGTATTGCAAATTATACAATAAACTAGATTTTATATTTAAAATCGAAGGTAGTATTTGTTTTATGTGTGTCAGCTTTCTAATTTTTCGTTCATACGAAGGTCAATGATGTCTTTGAGTTTTGTCATGTACTATCTGTTTGAAAGGTAGAAAATCTTCCTTTTCCCGTCTGTCTTTCTCTCCCTTTTGTTGCTGCAAAAAGATTAAAATTCTAATAATTTGCTTGTAAAGCCCCGCAATTCCAGTAGGATATGAAATTCCTTAAAAAAAAAAAAAAGTTCATATCTATTAAGCAGTGAATCTTTCAAACTACTTCTCTGATCTTAAATATAAGACTTATTTTATAGTGTAAGTGCAAATAGGTCTTATATTTAGAACCGGAGGAGTAGTAAATAACAACAACTCTTAAACAAAAGAAGTTAAACAAAATAGTTTGAAATAAACCCGTTCATCTTATTCTTGATCTTGCTAATGTTCTCCTGGGCTAGGCGATCAATGTCATCAAGATCCATGATCATATTGTCATCCATACCCTCTTCCTTTCGGCACAATGGAATACAGCTTAGCTTTGTCACCTTCTCGCAATACTCTTCACGCTGCTTCTTGAGCTGTGCATTAATTTTGGCAACCTTTGCCTTGCGAAACTCTCCTGGTTCAAATTTCTTCTTTCATCCAGCACAAATGCATTTTGGAACCTTGCGATTACCTATTGAGCTCCTCTTGAATTTGGCCAAGCTTTTGAATTAGATTCATAGGGGCTGAAAACAACGGCACATGCTTCAATCTCACAATGAGTGGCTAGTTCACTCATTTTTTTCGCAAGACCCTTCATCCTTTCGTTATATGTTGTCTTCCTTGCAGCATCGCTCTAGAGATATGCAAGAGGCACTCTATTTCTGGTCATGGCGTATTGACTACGAATAGAGGTACGAGTAACCTGGATTTTTTTCTTGTATTATAGCCATAGGCAGGCTCTGCTTTATATAGTTCTACTTAACCCATTCACATTAAATGTGCACTAGTTCAAGCCTGATCACTATTTTCCCACAACTTTGTGTGATACAGTGTTAGGTTTAAGTGAGGTTTCATTTCTTAATGATGTTGACTCTAGGCTCTAGGTCCCAAATGTATATACTCCTCCGGTCCTTAATATAAGATCCATTTAATTAATTTGATTAGATTAAGAAAGTTAGGTAAGTTAGTTAATTATAAAAAATATGACACATTTTTCCTAAAACACCATAATCATCTTTCTTAATACCCCATTTTCCTCTTCTGCTTGATTATGGTTGAGGGAGTATTCATAGAAGTAATTTAGAAAAAACTGATAAACATGATAAATGGATCTTATATTTAGGACTAAAACCAACTCAACAATTGGGTCCTATATTAAGGATTGGAAGAGTATTTTATGATTTGCATGAAGGAATTGATGTGCAAACGTATCTCACTCTAGGAAGTAATTTGGTTGTTTCATCTTTCTTTTTTTTCTTTCTTTGGGTGGGGGGTTATGTTGCCATGTGTCGATGTGCAATCGCAATATCAAAATTCTCATATTTAGTAATATAACAACTTGAAGTTAATATAGAAAGGACATACTGATATTTTGCAAACCCGGATAAAAGGTAAAGGTAAGGATGTAAAATCCTCTTCACTTTTGGATGATGTCAAATATTGTTGAAAATGATGTTGTCTTATTGCTTATGGTGCCCTCATATCGGTGTTCCATACATATGTTTTGATCAACATGATGGATGGTAAATGCGCCCGATTTTTTCATTACTAACATAATAATTTCAATGTATTCAAGGCCAAAAAGCTTCTAGATTTACTGTTACATTCTCTAAACTTATATTTAACTGTTGTCTTTTTAATAATTGAATAATTCAGTCTTGTAAGCCCAAAAAAACTCAATCTAAAGGAGTAAACCAAGGAAGCTTAGAATTTTACACGAACAGCGTCTTTTCCAAAAACAAACCAGAGTAAGCCCTCTTTCCATTTTTAAAATTTCATTTTTGGTGCGATTGGCGGTTGGACAGAGAGGTCTCACTGACGAGTATGGACCAGAAATAATTGCCGATCTTGTGGCCACCCAAGATAGTCTTGACTCTAGTTACTGGATAGGGCCATATACCTTTTGTTTTTTTATTAATATAATTTTTTGTGCTGCTTCAAGTTTATCCTTATTGTAATTTTGGTCCTTCAAATTTCAAACTTAGTTTTTCTCTCTTAAGTTTCTTTCTATTTATAATATTAGTCTTATAATTTAACAAAAACCTGAATTATTTTGCCTATTAAGGAATCAAAATTTATAGTTTGAAACTCCAACTAAAACCAAAATTCGTACAAACTTGATGGATTAAAATTTTATTTAACGACAGAACAATGCTGTAAGTATATTATTTTATTAATTATTCATCCTCAGAGACTGGATGTAATGCTTTACGGCTTAAGTTGTAAAACCTCCAAAGTATTAAGTAAATAGTAGAAACGATTTTGACATTCTCGCTTCTATAAATCTAATTCCTGCAAAAAGTATTTATTTAATTTTGTAGTTGTTCATCTGCTTTTATTTTTATCTGTTTAAACACAATCACCTTGAAATTTTTTATTGGACCTGCTTTATGAGATATGGATTGTTTTCTTGTGATCAAATTTATAAGGCATGATGGAGTCTGCAGTGACATTCAAGATTTAGGTGCATAACCTTCACGACTAAAGGACTTGAATCGCCAATGATGACACTTTCTCTCAATTGTTTTGCAAAACATAGGGCTTTCTATATATCAACGGCTCAATATATCTCATGTGAATTTTGCCTTTCAAAATTAATTTGAAGTTGACGAGAGATAGAAGGAAGAGAAATCAAAAGAAGGCTTCAAAAGAAAATCTTACTTGACCATAAAAATTAAAAAGTCAATTGATGGGGCTTGTTTGATGTCATACCAGTAAATTGCAACTCATTCCAATTTAAATACAGGTTGAAATAAAACGACGAAATGAAAGAAAGAAGAAAAAAGCACAAACATATTTGAAGGTGGCAACAAGCTTTCACCTAGGTCCTAGGTGTGCCAATAGGGAAAGGTTGGAGAGCATCCTGCTTCCCATTCACGTAGTAGTCAACAACGGCCTTCATTCGTGGAAGCTTATCTGGGTGGTAGTTTATGTGAATAATTACCGGTTTAAGTTTTTTGAGTTTAGCATCATTCCTCACAGTCTTAAATAGAACCTTACTGTTCATGAAGAGGTAGATATCCATTGTTCTTTTGGAAGCATAAAGCCCAACGTAACCAGGATGCGAGGGATAAAAGAGTTCTTCATTGAAAACATCTTGGTCCCAAGCCCTTTGCCTCGAAAGCCGAGCGGCCACACGATCCAGAAGTTCAATTGCAGGGATTGTGGGTCTGATATAGAAGAAACCAGAATTGAAAACCCACATCCTTATAGTATGAATAAATCGAGACCAACGCATTGTAGGGTCATCAAAGACGTCCTTATACATATATGCAGTCCTGTTGTTATGACCATCACTCATGGACTCTACGTCTGAATCGCGGATCAGATGATCAAAAGGATTTTGCAGAAATACAACGTCAACATCTGATAGAAGAACACTATATCCCAGCTGCAGAAATTCTCTAAGAAAGCGAAATTTAAGCGCAGAAATCTGATCACCGCGTCCCTTTCTTCCAATGGAATCAATAGCTTCATCTGGATCTCTCCTGTACACTGGAACCTGATTTGACTGACAAAATTTTGAGGTTTCTTCATCTAAAGCATACACCAGATAATTGGTTATACCAACTCTCTTAATGCTGGTGAACCAAATTTCCAACATCTCCTTCACTTTGGCATTTGCAAGGACAACTATAAGCTCGTTTTGAACTGCTATTTTCTCTAATATCTTTGCCAATCTTGGGTTCACAGATTCATCAGGAACAACAGTAGGGTTAGTTCTTAATCCCTTAACAGTACCAAAAGGCCCAGCTTTAGGCTGTTCAGCCAACGCAAGAGACTGCTTTTGAGCCCGATCACTCTCTTGCTTTGCTAGTTGAAACCTTTCAGTCAACTCCTGGACCTGTTTTTTCAGCTGAGCGTTTTTCTCTGATACTGCTGCAAACTCTGATTTTAACAGATCGACCTGATCTGATGATTCACATTGAGTTGAATTTGCCTGCCATAAGAAGACGTTATAAAAAAAAGAAGCATATCATGCATGCCATGCTCAACGACGCTCATGAGAAGGGCGTGCTCATCGCCCAAACTGCAGCATTTAGGAATGAGGCAAGAGGGAACTTTAAAAAAAAAATTATTTTTTATTTATTTGGGTTAAGTTATACTTAGTACACTCAAATATTTTTTTTAGTAGCATCCTAATATTAAATTGATGAATTTTTAGTAAGTCCAACATTGTGAAGTATTCTTTTACGAGTACTCAATATCCTAAATTCATTAATTTTTAAAATATTCAGCATCTTAAAATATTTTTCTAACAGTACTGACTAATTAAAAAAAATACTCTAAGTGCACTGAAAATTAATTAATTTACAATACAAAGTGTGAATATTCTATAACTTAATCTAAATAGATTAAAAAATAAAATTAATAATTTTTTTATTATTAAAAAAAGGAAAGATGGGTGTCTCATCCCCAAGCACTACGATTTGGGGATGTGTTCTACAATGACCTAAAGCTAGTAATATAAGTTCAACTTGCCAAAAATGGGAGGTTGATGTGTCAGGGTTGGCTGCACGCAAACAAAACTTTTCAACTCACAACGCTAAACCTATGACTTGGTGGTGGGCCAATCTACATTTTTGTAATTATTATAATTATATTATTATATTTTGTATCTTATCTAAAAAATAAAAAAAAATTCCTACATTATTTATTTGGTGTTTTTAATCAATTATTTGTAGGAAAAACAAAAATTTTATTATATTTTATTTATATTATGTGATAAAAAATATTTTAAAAAAATAATAGTTGACAAGTTGAGGAGCTAACCTACTAACCCACCATAATAGATTAGGATTAGCTAAAAACTAGCCAGAGACATGGGAATTGAAAGTCAACAGTTTCATATGTCATCCAAATGATCCAGAGGGCAAAAAAAACAAGGTCCAAAAATAAATTGATAAATAGAGAACGATCAAAGATAGTAGAACCTGAATGTTAGATCCCAGCAGACTGTTACTGCAAAAAGTGATTGCATTAGAAGGGAGGAAGACATTGGGAAACATAAAAGCGAAGACACATCCAGCCAAAAACCCAAGGGCTATATTGACAAGGACTCCTGCTTTGGGTGGGGAATGGCTATTGTTCCTCATCCTGGCGTCTGTGCTCTTCAACCTTAACCTTCAGATGCCTCTTATATGGTTTTGGGAAATGAATGGCATCGAATTTTGACGTTAAGCAGGACTGATCTTCAACCAAATGGACTGCCCATATTGACATTTCTACATCTTCTTCTGACTTGGGGAGCAGCTTTCATGCTCTTTACAGTGATGAGCATGAAATGTGCTCCCTAAGTAAGAAGATGTTAGGTAAAAATGCCAATAAAATACTCATGTTTATTTGAATTATTCACATTAGTTTTGGACGGTCCACATATAATTTGATTTTTTTTACATATTGTCATTAATTTTTATATTTTAATAGATACAGAATTTAAAATAAAAACAATTTTCTTACTAAAACTTTTTTAACAAATAATTTTATCATTGGAAAAAAAATTACAGATTAAAACTTTCAAATAAAAATATTCATGTCGGATTATAATTGATAATATGGTACCAGCAAACTCTAAACATGGACAAGGTTACAGCATATTACGCCCAATTATACTTGATAATACGTACAAGGATAAAAGTAAAATATTATTAAAATAAAATATTTTAAATACTTACCTGATGCTTTCATTCACAAGTCTGGATTAAACGAACCGGTCAATCTATCCAACCCACCCAGCCAGCCAGATTTCCCAAGCTAAATTAGGTTGGATTTTGACCCAAAAAATTAGGTTGGATTGAAACCGGATTGGTTGCTTCACCTCGTGTTCTTAAATAATCACATTTTTAAGGAAGTATTTGGATTAGTGTTTTAGAAGTAATTTTATAGAATACAATAAGTACATAAAATGAGTTTTTACCTTGCTTGTGTAAAAATATTTTTTTTTGCAAGATTTTTTAAGGGTTGAAGAAACAAATTTACTTATTATAATATTAAAAAAGAATAATAAGGATCATAATAAAATATTGGGTACAAATACCCGCAAACTTTTCAAAATAGAGTAAAAATATCAAATCCGTTAAATCAAACAAGCATCCATTACTTTTTTGTGTTAGTGGAGCCCACCTTTCCACAATGATTTCTCACCATAGTCAACTATCTCATCTTCCTTCTCTTTTTCTTTTCTTTCTCTTTTTAACCCTTGATTCTTCTTCTTCTTCTTTTAAATTTTTTTACCTTTTAAAAAATTATTTACTTAAAAAATATTTAAATAAAATAATAATTTTTATAATTAATTTTTTTAAAAAATTTAATGTGAAAGGTAATAAAAATACATTATTTTCTATTTACAAGTTTAAAATCTCAATTTTAAATAAAACTTAAGTGTTTTACATAATTCATTCACTATTTAAAATATGCAAACAAGAAAATCACTTGGTAATCCTATCAAAAAAAAAATTATAATATACTAAAAGGTTACGTTTACCGAAAGAATCTATTATTAACACCCACAAGTCATAAGATGGGAAGAGTTATTTTTTTAATAAAAAATTTATCATCACCAAATTTATAACATGGGTTACATTCATAAAATTTAAAATCCTAAAATGTTAATTTATAATATAAATAAAGGATTTTGTTTCATGGGAATGGATTTTTTTTTAATGACTTGTAAATGTCAAAGATAGAATTTTGGTAATTATAAATTCCGATAACGATAATTTTTTTCATAAAAAATCTATTCCCCTTAAAAAAAATCTATTTTCATCTTACGACTTGTAGATATTATTGATAGATACTCCCTCCGTTCCTTTTTATAAGATATAATTAACTAAATCACATTATTCAAAAAATTAGTTAAAATTAGTTAGGTGCAATAAATATATAAAGAGTGTAACATTTTTGCCAACAATACCCTCATTTATGTGAAAGAGAGATAATGTGTGGAGAGAGAACGAATGGGAATTAAATACAATTATATGAGTAATATGAATAATTAAATAGGAGTAAAATAGGAAATCAACACACAAAATTTGAGAAAACCTATAAGTGTCTCTTATAATAAGGAACATGATATACTTTGCAATTGTCTCTTATAATAAGGAACAGAGGGTTATTTTAAGTAGTGAATAAATTAAGTCAAAAAGACTAAATTTTTTATTTGAAGTTGATCGTTCAAACTTTATAAATAGAAAAGAATGTATTTTTATTTTTATTACCTTTCATATTAAATATTAAAAATTTAATTATAAAAATTATTATTTTATTCAAACATTTTTAAATGAGTAAAAAATTAAGAAGAAGAAGAAGAAACGAAGGGTAACATAGGGAAGAGAGAAGAGAAAAAGGGAGGATGAGAGGGTCGCAGTGAGGAGAGATCAGAAGTTGACAAATGGCAAAGTGGACCCATCACAGAAAAAGTAACGGATGTTTGTTAGATTTAATACCAAACTCTTCCTAAATTAGGCCTCCATATTAGGATTATTAAATACTCCACACACACGGAATACTCCAAGCACAATGCGTATATTGTAACGCACGGCTACAGAGCATTTCCCAGACACCTCAAAAAGAAGGGTTATCTTATCACCAAAAAAAAAAAAAATCATAATTTCCAATGGAGTTTTTTTTTTTTTTTTTTAAGTTGCTCTATCATTTGATGTTTTATTTATTTATTTATTTTCTTAAAAACTTGCAGCAAGAACTCAGAACTATAAAATACCGTAGACAATCTTATCTGCGAGAATTCTGCCCTAAAGAAAGAGCTAATGAGACTTTCCAAGGATTCCATAGAGCTCTCTGATTTGAATGAATCCATTGAGATGTGTCATTTAAACCGTAATTTAGCTGTCATTTACCATTTTCAAATAATTAAAGCAACATGCCAAACAGTCAAGGTTCACTTTTCGCTGCATCACTTTCTTTTTGTAAAACAAGTCCAATCTTCAACACGATTTGAAATTACGATTATCTCACTCTAGGAAGTCATTTGGACGTTTCATCTTTTTTCCCCCAAATGGAGGAGCCACAGATGAGGGACACATGCAGTGCACAGAAGCCAAACATCCTTCCTTGCCAACAACTACAGTGACATTCAAGTTTTAAGGAGTATCTGAGTGGAAACCAAATCATGATTTTAAAAGTAATTTTACAGTATACAAAACAACTCAATTTGCGTAAATTAAAAGTGCTTTTAGGGTAAACCAAAAGCAAATTACTTTCACAACTACAGGCAATCATATTCTTAAAAAATGTGATGCCAGGTTAAAGGACTTGGTTTCTTCATATATGACCAATGACGGGACTTTCTTTCAATTGTTTTACAAAATATGGAGCTTTCTGTATATCAACAGCTCATTATATCTCATTCGAATTTAGATCATCGGCCTTTTGCCTTTCAAAATTAATTTGAAGTTGGTGAAAGAAAAGAGCAAGAGAAATCAAGCGAAAGCTTCTAAAGAAAATCTTTCCTGACCGTAAAATGTCGCAGGGGTTTGTTTGATGTCATGCCAACAAATTGCAAATCATTCCCAATTTGAATAGGGTTGAAATAAAACAATAAAAGCTTTCTATAGCTAACAACAAACATTACAGAAAACGTGTGGAACCCCCGCCTAAAGAAAAGAAATAAAGAAGGAAAAAGCACAACCATCTTTGAAGGGGGCAACAGGCCTTACTAAATTGTCCATATATAATGAGATATTTCTAGGACATGTGTGTCTTATATGACCTACGGTAACAAGAAGCCAAACAAATACCTCGGCAGCAGAAGGTCACCAATCTGAGCCATCAGGGAAAGGTTGGAGAGCATCCTGCTTTCCATTCACGTAGTACTCAACAATTGCTTTCATTCGTGGGAGCTTATCTGGATGGTAGTTTACGTGAATAATTACCGGTTTAAGTTTTTTGAGGCTAGCATCCTTCCTCACGGTCTTAAACAGAACCTTGCTGTTCATGAAGAGGTACATATCCATTGTTCTTCTGGCAGCATGTAGCCCAATGTAGCCAGGATGCGAGGGATAAAAGAGTTCTTCATTGAAAACAGCCTGGTCCCAAGCCTTCTCCCGGGAAAGTCGGGTGGCCACACGATCCAGAAGTTCAATTGAAGGGATTGTGGGTCTGATATAGAAGAAACCAGAGTTGTAAACCCATATCCTCATAGTATGAGCATATCGAGCCCAACCCATTGCAGGTTCATCAAAGACATCATTATACCCATAAGCAGTCATATTGTTATGACCATCACTCATGGACTCTACGTCTGAATCCCGGATCAGATGATCAAAAGGGTTTTGCAAATACACAATGTCGACATCTGATAGAAGAACACTATATCCCAACTGCAGAAATTCTCTAAGAATGCGAAATTTAAGCCCAGAAACTGCGTGATTGCCTCCAATTCTTCCAATGGAATCAATACCTACATCTGGATCTCTCTTGTACACTGGAACTTGTTTTGACTCGCAAAATTTTGAAATTTCTTCATCTAAAGCAACCACCAGATAATTGGTTATACCAACTCTCTTGATGCTGGTGAACCAAACTTCCAGCATCTCCTTCACGTTGGCATTTGCAAGGGCAACTATAAGCTCCCTTCGAACTGCTACTTTCTCTAATATCTGTGCCAATCTTGGGTTCACAGATTCATCAGGAACAACAGTAGGGTTAGTTCTTAATCCCTTAACAGTACCAAAAGGCCCAGCTTTAGGCTGTTTACCCAAAGCAAGAAACTGCTTTTGAGCCTGATCACTCCCTTGCTTTGCCAGTTGAAGCCTCTCAGTCAACTCCCTGACCTGTTTTTTCAGCTGAGCGTTTTTCTCTGATACTGCCACAAACTTTGATTTCAACATGTTGACCTGATCTGATGATTCGCATTCAGCTGAATTTGCCTGCCAAAAGAAGACATTGTAAGAAAGAAGCATATTATCCTATGGCCCCTTCTCTGCCGCTTGGAAATAGAAATTATACAAAGTGCTATTTTAAGCCCCAGAAAACCATGTGGATTCACCTACACACAGACATTGCGCATATGAGCAAGCTATTTAACCGCTCAACTATTCATCATGTGTTAAAAGTTCAGCCCCATCCATTCACTAAATTAATCAAACTACCTACCAGTTTGGCACAAAGATCTGGAAACCAGACTGATGTGATCTCTAAGCAGAAAAATGGACCCAAAAAATACCAGTTTTCTTCAGGTCAAAATATCGAACGGTGGAACAGATCATATACCAATCACATTAGAATCCTAGCATGAAAGTGGATCCCAAGATGGAAGTAGGCAATTAATCAACACTTCTGAAGATAGAACCGGCAAGTCAAAATGCAACGTCACAACAAGTCAATAATATACCAAAAACAACTAGTCGAAACATATGAATCGAAAGTCAACGGCTTCATTTGTTATCCAAATGATCCCAGTGCATTGGTAATACTGCTAATTCAATGAATTCTCTATCCAAACAAGATTCAGAGGGGGAAAAAGTGAAAAAAAAATAGATACAGAAAGAGCCAGAACGATCAAATATAGAACCTGAATCTTGGATCCCACGAGATTGTTATTGCGGCGAGGGATTGCGTTAGAACCGAAGAACCCACTGGGAAACATAAAAGCGCAGACACATCCAACGAAAACCCCGATGGCTACAGCGACAAGGACCCTCGATTTGTGTAGAGAATGGGTATTGTTCCTCATCAAGGGACCTTCTCTGCGGCCAATCATGGCGTCTCTCCTCTTCCACCTCAACCTTCAGATGATGTGGTGGTACCCTCCGACTCTTCTATAGGGCTTTGGGAGGGGCGAAGAAAGGACGAACCAAGATTGAAATGAATGGCATTGAATTTTGACGTTGGAGAGGACTGATCTTGAACAAGCGTGTTCCTCAGAGCTTTCGTACACACAAAAAGAGGAGTCAGGCTTCACGCCGATCGAAGATCTGAGGAGGAAGGCGCGCTTGACCGAGCTCAGCTTCAACAAAAGGGACTGCCGATCTTAACACTGCGAGCTCTCTGTTTTTTTTTTTTTGGGTTGTTTCCAACGACACTGCTGGCTGCATCTCTCCTAAACCGGTTAAGACGTATCAACACCCCCAAATATTTTATCAGGTACATTCAGTGGCTTAAAGTAATTTATGGTGCAATTTTACCCTCAAAGTAATTAAAATGGTGCATCGGTATCCCATGCTAACAGATCTGTTACTTTGACCTTGACCGTTAATTGATGAGTCAGCACAAGTTTGACCAAAATAATCTAACGTGGCATGTCTAATAAGTAGGTGATGTGGAATTTTTTCGGGGTTAAGGTGCATCCAGCACCCCCAAGTATTTTTCCAGGTGCACCCAGTGACTTAAAGTAATTTATGGTGCAATTTTGCTCTCAAAGTAATTAAAATGGTGCACCGGTATCCTATGCTAACAGATCTGTTACTTTGACTGTGAAATTGATGAGTCAGCACAAGTTTGATCAAAATAATCTGACCTGACATGTCTAATAAGCAGTTGACATGGGTTTTCTTGTTAATTCCATTTTTTTTGTCTAAATATTACTCCTCTGGTCCTATTTATAAGGCACTTCCAGCATGTTTTACACAGAACAAGAAAAACCTTAAATTTCATTAACTCTCATTTAAATTTTAATAACTTTTCAACTTTATTTCTACTTAATATACATTATACCTCATATAAACAAAGTCAATACAATAATAAATGAGAGGTAAATTTGTACATTCGTACAAAAAATTTCTCTCAGTGCCTTATAAATAGGACCAAAAAATATATTCTCTCTTTACACTATAAATAGGACCAGAGGAGTATCTTTGAAAAAATTTCTTACTCTGAAAAAAATTCCAAGAGCCGAAGAGAGTATTTACTGAACAGAGAAAACAAAGCAGTGGCAGACGAAAAAAATTTCACATCACCTGCTTATTAGACATGCCAGGTCAGATTATTTTGGTCAAACTTGTGCTGACTCATCAATTTCACAGTCAAAGTAACAGATCTGTTAGCATAGGATACCAGTGCACCATTTTAATTACTTTGAGGGAAAAATTGCACCATAAATTACTTTAGGTCACTGGGTGCACCTGGAAAAATATTTAGAGGTGCTGGATGCACCTTAACCCCGAAAAAATTTCACATCACCTGCTTATTAGACATGCCACGTCAGATTATTTGGTCAAACTTATGCTGACTCATCAATTAAATCAAACTCTACATCCGGTTTTAAAACGTAATTTGATTTTTATTTTGATTTTAAATATAAAATTTTAATATATTTTATCTCTTATATTTATATATATATATATTTTTTAAAATAGTCTTCCTAATAATAATAGTTTTAACCAATAAACTTGATCAGTAAAAATATTTTAGAAAAAACAACATTTATTTATTATAAATAACTATTTTAACTTATTTTTTTAATTTTCTCAAATTAGTTAACAAGTTCTTATAATTAAGATATGAGATAGTAATATATTAGTTCTGATTTTTAATATAAAAACTAATTGACTATTTAATATAAGAATTAGTTTAGTAATTTAAATAAATTAAAAAAATTTATTGAGTTAGTTAGTTATAATAATTAGGTGATATCTTTCTTAAAATACCCTTATTAACTATATGCTTCAGAGGTGTGGGTCTTATATTTAAGACCGGAGGAGTATTAGCTAAAATTACTATTTGATTAAACCTTTAACTTGTGTAATTATTACAAGAATTGATTTTAAAAAATAAATAAACATGAGAAATAAAATGAATTGGAACCTTATATTTAAAACCGAATTGAAAATGAAACTAATATTTATATTAAGAATAGGAGCTTGTATTAACTAATATTAATATAAATTTACTCGTTATTCACGTTACAATTGACAATGCGGTACCAGCAGACTTTAACATGGAAAAGGTTAGATTTTTATGCCCAATTATATTTGATAATACTTATAAGGCTAAAAGTAAAATATATTAAAATAAAATGGCAAAGAATTGTTAAAATAAAATATTTTAGATACTTACCTGATTGTTTCATTCACAATTTTGCATTATAATCATGTAGCCTAGCAAGTATTCATGTCCTTGTGAACGGCTATATATTTTCCATCCCAATGGTTAGATTTAAAGAATCTCCACTATTGCACATTTAAATTAACATGGAAAATTGGTTTTATGGTTTTGCAAGATAAACATGTTAAAAAAAATTATTTTATAAAGAATAAAATTACTTTCTTTTTTAAGTTCGATATGTTACAAACAGTGTATTGAAGACTGGGTTTAAGGGTTAATGATCTAAAATCAATCATGATTAAAATAATATTACTTAATTAAAATAAATAAAATATTTATATATGACCGTTAAAAAAGTCATATTTAAATAAAAAAATATTAATTCCCTAGTAAATAGATAGTTACTAAGGCAGAAATAAGCAAACTAAAATATAAAACAGATATTAAGGCACAAAAGTAAATAGATTTTAAAAGTAATATTTAAATAAAAAATTAATTCTCCAGTAAATAGATAGTTACTAAGGCAGAAATAAAGCAAACGCAAATATAAAACAGAGTTCAATTCTTAAAATAATCAAACTCAACAATACATTATCACACCTATAGAAAAGGTATTATCTTTTTTAAAAATAAAAAATAAAAGAACATCATTTTGGGCTTAGAAGGCACAGAGAGAGAGAGAGAGAACAACCCGGTCAATTCAACCAACCCACAGGGCCAGCCAGATTTCTAAACCTAAATTAGGCAGGACTGGAACGGGATTGATTACTTCGCCGGACTGGACCAATAATGTCAATCACACCAGCAGATCTGTCTTCATGTGGTTACAAGATTCCAAGTTGGCGCATTACTTAATGGTCTGGAAAATACTTGTGTTCCTAATAATAACCTGTTGAAGTCAGGCTTCCGCATCAAGATTATTAAATACTCCACCCACACGGAAAATAGATCTTCATGCTTATTAATTGCGTATATTTAGTGCACAGAGCATTTCTCAGGCATGTAAAAAAGAAGGATTATCTTATCACAACAAAAAAATATAAAGAATATGTAATCATGCATCAGATGCATGTTCCTACACATGGAAGGGAAAATAAGAATGCAAGTGGGACAAAGAAGTGGTCATGGAGCACTGTTATAATAACAATATGTCATCCACATAAAACTCGCTTCAGCTCTTGTCTATAGCCACCACCAAGTCACTAACTCCAACATGTGATCACCCATAATTGAATGTATGAGTTAACATAAAATATGCCGATGGCCATGTATCAATAAGAACAGGGGAAGTATCCGCCAAGAATGTTCTACAGGATGCAAGATGATATTAGCTTTAAGATATACCCTTCAAGATGTCAATCCCCCATGCCCAGGGGAATGGAAATCAAGAGACTGTTAAGTATGACAGGTTACCGAGTTCAGAAGTAAGATTGAAATCTCAGAACAGCATAGAAAACTGCAGAAGAGATTCTTTTTTCTTTGTTTTTGGTACATGATCTCTAACTCACCTGAATCAAATCTTGCTCTTTGGGCTTTCAATCTCGCAGTTTGCTTTTGCGCCAACTGGCTTACAAATTCTGGATTGCTGTAGTATATTATGATCTCTAACCTTACGTGAAAGTTCTTTGGACCCAAAATGTGGACAAGGCAAATACTCGCTATGCCTTGAAGTTAAACAGTTTAGATTAAGAAGAGGCGACAAGGAATGAACTCCAGTTAACATGTCACTAAGGTTTTGGATTATGTGATCCTTGGCTCTATCCTGTTCTGTTGTGGTTTCAGGAACAGAACATCCAATCATATTCCCAGTGGTCCAACAATAACATTGGCAACCAGTATCACCTGTTTTCTTCCAACATTTGTCTCTGCATACCTCGGGCATCGAATTCTGACGACGTGATCGCCACAAAACAGACTTCTCCTTTAATGTGCCAAAGAATCACATTCAATGGCACTGGCTAATTGACGCTTTATGTCCTCAAAAGAATTCCCCTGAATCTTCATAAAGCTGTTCCAGTTCTGCGGATGAAAAATACATCATATCTTTCAAACAGACCAAAGCAGAATATATTTCATCTGATGTTGAATGAGAACTATCGCCTGAAGTAAATACGTGAATGCCATTTTCCACGTACATCCAACTACACCCAGCAAGTTTCCTTGCCTCTTTTCCCCTCATTTTGTTCCTTATTTTTCCCATCTCATCCCAATTCCCCTCCGAAGCATATACATTAGCCAATTGCACATAACGAGACCCATTATCTGCCTCCACTTTCAATAGTTTCTCCGCTGCTTCTTTAGCAAGCTCTATATTACCATTTAAACGACAAGCGTGAAAAAATGCTCCCCAGATATTGACGTCCATTTGTACAGGAATCTTTCTCATGAATTCTATTGCCTTCTCTAGTTTATTAGCCCTTCCATACATATCAACCATACACGCATAATGTTCAGCACCTGGCAAAATGTTGTGATCTACTTCCATGGAACAAAAAATCTGCTCTCCTAGATTGACTAGTCCACGATGTACACAGGCTGATAGAAGTGCAACAAAGGTCACCGCGTCTGGCTTGATATGTTTCTTCAACATCTCCTGAAAAAGCTTAAACGCTTCATTCACAAGTCCATGGTGAGCAAAACCAGCTATCATAATGTTATAAAAGACTGTATCTCTATCACTACCAGCAACTAGATGGAAAATTTTCTCAGCATATTCTATATTCCCGCATTTTGAATACATATCAACTAAAGCACTAGGTAATTTTTCATTCATTTCAATTCCCATTCTCAAGACATGAGCATGAATCTGCTTTCCCAAAGTAAGCGTGGCTTCTATAGCACAAGCACCAAGCACACTGATAATGACCAACCCGTCAGGAACTAATGCTTCATTGGTCATGTACTCTCTAAAAAGTTTGAAGACTACGTCACATCGCTTTGCTTTGACATAACCAGAAATTAGAGCCGTCCAGACGACGGAGTTTTTTTCTGTTAGTGAATCAAAAAGTCTTTGGGATTCTCTCATGTTGCCTTGAGATGAATAGCCTGAAATAAATGAAGCAACTGCAAAGAGGTTACTAGTCTTGGTTCCTGCATTAACGGATTCTGCATATTTGAGATTCCCGCACTTGCAGTAGAGATCAACAATGGCATTGCTAATAAATTGATTAGAAAATGAGGTGTTTTTCAACACCCAAGCATGGACAGACTTCCCAAGTGCTAAGCATTGTAGGCCAGAGCAAGCACCCAAAACACTCACTAAAGTGCGTTCATCCCAGCTAACGCCATCTCGAACCATTTGAACAAACAAGGCAAGTGATTTCTCGAAATTACTATTCTGGGCATACCCGGCAATCAATGTATTCCAGGATATAATGTCGTTCAATTCGGGACTTTCCCAAAATATATTCAAAGCCATGCCCATCTTTCCTTCCCTGAAACAAGCAGCAAGCATTGCATTCTTTGAAATCAAATCCACCTCCCCATTGCAACCACTGAAGACGTTACAAGCTTCACCAAATAACCCACATTTCGAGTACATGTCAATAAGAGAACTCACTGCATATGCACTTCCATCATTTGCAGTTTTCACCATGTATGAATGTATTTGCCTTCCAAAAAGAGCAACACGAAGCTTTGTAGCCAAGTTAATCATTGTCGTCAGAGTGATCTCATCAATTCCAGTTGTCTCATGTATGGATTGCATTGTAGTAAACAAATTAAGCGCCTCAGTTTCATATCCATCAGCACTAACATAACCAGATAACATGGAGTTATAAGAAACCGAATCTTTATGAGGGGCAGAATCAAAAAGAGCTCGTGCCTGAGCCAGGTTCCGAGCTTTGATATGAGCCGATATGACGGTATTCCAAGAGAATACATTTCGCTGAGGCATTTCATCAAACAACTTCTGGGCAACATGCGGGAGTCCATGATTAGCGTAAAGACGAACGACTTCATTCAAAGCAAAAATGTTTGAGGTAGAAGCAGCTTTTATAACCTGAGCATGGTGGAGCATAACATCCCTCAGAGATTTCATTCAGCTGTCCACCAATATGAACCCATGCACACAGCACGTGGTCCCAACTCGCAATGCCAAATTCCTCGCTTAGATTCTGGCTTTATAGCTCCTTTTGTTTTCGGCCCATTGGCAATTTCACTGAAAAATTGGCCCCACTCCTGAATTTCAGCCCAAAAATTGAGCCCAAATCAACACAGACTTGCTTGGCAAAAATAGAGTTCTAAACCGACCTGTGACCCCAGTTAAAGTAGGATTAAGGGACCGTTTGTGTAAGTTTTTTACATTAAAAAAATCACTTTTATGAAATTTCACTGTGTTTACTTAAACTTTTGAAGATAATCAAAATTAAAAAAAGTATTTATAATTTTAATAAGCTTCTCTGGTTAATGTCTGTAAATAATCTAGAAGAGCAAGAATATCACAAAGATATGGAGACATGCTGATATATTATAAAATTTGAAAATAATTAAATAAAATAAAGGAGGTGGGCCTCACTCACCTGGACAAGCTTAGCGGGTTAGGCTGATTGCTTTACCGGCCCAAAATATTTAAATTGGATTCCAAATTAGTTGAAATGACATGATATGGCCCATATATGGAGGTGGCAGAAGAAAAGGCCCATATATGGCACGCTAGCCCAAAAATAAATTCCAAGGAGGACAAATCAGTGGATGGGGGTTATCAATAATATAGACCAGTTGTAACCAAAAATATATATATATATAGACCAGTTCTAGATTCTGAAAAAAAATGTAAAAAATGAACTATATCCTTCATAATTTATAAATAACTGGCGAATTTTTTTATATTTTATATATAATTATCAGTTGAATTAGGCATAAGGAGCATAAGGAACAAATAGAAACTTCAAGAGGATAAGGGGATTCGTTTGTAATATGTTTATGAATAAATACAACTAACTTAACAGTTATTAATTGAATAAAGTTCGATTATTTGTTGATTTAAAACAGAGGTATATATTTGAGACAGGCACCCACTGGCACTACCCATCACTGTATTATTCAGTCATTATCATCAGACAGCCAACCAAAATAGCTCTTGGTCTCTCTGTAACTAAAATTTTGAAAATAGATAATTAATCGATAATTAATTGATGAATATTAAAAAAATAAGTTAAATTAATTATTTGTAACAAATTAATGTGTTGATTTTGCTAAAATTCCCTATTTGACCCTTGATGGGAACTTATTACCATATGCAATTAATAGAAATATTTTTTAAAAAAATTATAAATTTGATAAACACAATGGACTGAGATTTTATATATAGGATCAAAGTAAGCCCTCTTATCTAGTTTTTAGATTTAGGACCATAGGGAGTATCAACAAAGAACAATAATAAAACAATATTTGAATGATAAAATCATATAAAACAAAGGAAAAAATCACTGTGTGGTCTCAATAAAGAATGTAATCCAGTGCAAGAAATGACAAACAAGATTCATATTGTTCAATTAAGATTTTCTTTTTGTGATTATATTCTTTTTCTAAGATCTCATGATAATTTTTCATAACACCAATTATGACTGAGTTGAGTGGAAGGCATTCAATTCATCTCAAACCAGAAGAATTAAGAACTCTTAACATCAGAAATATCAAAAAAAAAAAAAAAAAGCATCCCGTGAGATAACATTGAATATGAAAAAGTAACATGAAAAAAAAATAATATTGAAAGTATGGGAAATATTTTGGGAATTGTGATGTTAGAAAAAGCAGGAGTTTATAGAGAGAGTAATGATATGGAAGTGGGGAAAAAAAGAATGGAATGATTGGTACCATATGAAATAATGAAAGGCGATACAATGAACAAAGAACCACAAAGTGGAAAGAGCAAATTCTGGAGGGTCGGCCGAAGCATGCTGTGATGGGACTCCCAAATCCATCCGATGTGGGCCTGTTCATTTGTCTGTTGACACATCGCATGTCACTGCAAAACAAACAGTACCATAAATTTAATGTTATTTCAATTAATTCCAATCCCTGAAATCGAAAGGCCTTCAATTTTTCATCTCGCTTTATCAAAAGTGTCTCATTCATTGATCCATATACACTCAAAAGACATATACATCCATCTGTATTATTGTCCATAGATCTGGTTCTTTATGTGACAGGTTTGCATATCCGCCATTTTTTGTCCCTCGATCACTTTCACTATCTCTTATATAGTGGAAAAGGAATGTTAGCTACGATCTGGGACACTGAACTACCCCCCTCATTTAAATACTAAGGTGTTTCAACGTGTTGGGACTTGGGATTAGACCCATAAAAATGACTCTCATGTTAGTTAAACATGATTAGATTCAGAATAGTAATTCATCAAATGAGAAGACGAGATAGATTTAGTGCCCTAGGATGAGTAGAAGTAAATCGAGTAACGTGATGATTAATGCAAGTCCAACAATGTGATGGCCATGAATTTGAATATTATGTATCTAAATTGCAAAGTTTGGATTATTATTCTGAATTTAAACTTTCGGATTGCTTATGCTCCAATTATATCAAACATATATGTTATTCATACATAGTTCAGTTGAATCTAAAATATTAAACAAAAGGCTCTCTAGGATATTGAAGCTTATCACGAGAGCTTATGTGATACTATAATATTTCATAGTTGAGCTGCAAATCTCCGCTTAATTTATTTTAAAGCTTGGTAGGCTATTAACAGGACCACATGTAATTTAAACTGTTAGGCCCCAAAAAAAAAAAGTTCCAGAAAGGGAGAGTTATAAGTTGAGCCGGTAACCAGAGGAAAATATATGTGAAAAGCTCAACCTTACATCTTAACCAGAAACTTAATCACAGCTCATGAGTCTTTTCACTTATATAAATCTTATTTAACTCATCTTCATTCAATGTGGGACACCTTCGTCAAATTAAATGGACTCATATTTGACATCTCGATACAAATTATGAATTATTATTATTAATTAACAAGATATTGACTGGCCTTTTCAGTTTTGGGGTGTCTGGATTTGCTTAAAAGTGCTTTTCAAAAGTACTTTTTCGTAAATCGAGACAAATTCTTCTGTATATTTATTTCGTATACCATAAAATTACTTTTGAAATCATAGGTTTGGTTTCCATCCAAACACCCTTTTATTAATTAGTAGACAGAGCTGAACCTGTGATATCTGCCTTTATCGATCATGTGTGGTGTGAATTCAACAAGTATGTATAATTGATGAATCTATGATGGTGAAGAAATAGGTAGGAGAGGAACTACACACAAACTCAAACACCAAAAGGCGATACCGTGATGATATCAGATGAACAGAGCCCTTTTCCATAAGGCTGCATCATATATAATATATGTAATAATGGTCCACCCAACCAAACGAAAGGCCTTCTTCACCACTCTCAGTGCTTGTACGTTACGTGCCACATGCCCTAACCCTAATGGAACTCAAACCAGCACATGAGATTCTTACAATCTCCGATTCTTTCTGTACTAAGATAGCGCCAAATACACAAGGCAGATGTCTCTGCATGAAGAAATAAAGCTATAAGAATGTGAAGTAGGTTGAATCCAAAGTGTTTCCTCTCTCCCACATTTAGAGGGCCTCATGTTTGATTGATATGTATGTGCTTTTTTGGTCCCCTCCCATGAAAGGTCTCGGAGAATCCCAAGTGTTCGATTCTCATTCAAAAGAGTAGCAAACCAAGATTATAATTCTGAACTAATTATATTGCCATGTTTGTCCTTGACAAAAGTCGGACGATCTTACTCAGTTTGTGACGATGTGATTATCATCTATGCTACGAAACTTTAATTTTACTTTTGTTTCATGTGGTGTGATTTGTGCTAAAAGGCATAATTACCTCAAATCTCTATACCTTTGTAACAAATAGTTTCGTCATTGTACGTCTTGTTTATTATGTTAAATAATTCCAACTTTGATCGATGATTTTTTCCGACTGGTTTCGGTGGTTTTGTCGTGGTTTGGTTGTTTTTAATGACAACACAATAGATATGTGGCTTGACAAAATTTAAGGAGAAAATAAACTTACATGAGTGATTTCATCAAAGAAAAAACTTGTGAATTTCTTGTGGTTGTTGTTTCACGCTGCGCTTGTACAATATATTTTTTTTGGCCAGGCCCTCGTACAATATTAATGACAAAGTATATATATACTGAGCCCTTTTTGTCGAATTAATAGTAAATAACTAATTTTATCCAAGTTAAGATTTTGAGTTCTTTTTTTTAGCTTAAAAAGAAGCACTGGAAAATTTTTCTAGATTTTGTTTCTTAAACTATTTTGCAGCGTATGACTCTAAAAAGAAATCAATAATATAATTGATCGAACGAACTAATATAAGTAACTAGTTCGTGGTGGAACCAAAATGGTTAAATGTTTAAGCCACAAATCACGCAATTGAACTCAAAATAGTTACGTTGAACTTAAAATACAAACACAAGTAGCAATTATTATTATTATTATTATTATTATTATTATTATTATTATTATTATTATGGATAATGATTCTGTAGGAAAAATTTAAAAAATAACAAATTATGGAGTCAAAATTTCAAAATGTCAATTAAAGGCTGTAGTCCTTTATTAACATTATAAAATAATTGAGAAATTTTGTTTACATGCGATTCCTGGAAAGACGTGTATGTTATAAATCCGGAGAGCTAAATTGGAAATGAGGAGAACCTTTATTAGAATTATTTCAATTAAGCAATAACTTTTTTAATATTAATTCACCAAACACCTCTAACTTGTATTCTATCTGTGTTCGTTTTCCAATTTAACTTCTCAATTTCTTAAGCCAAAGAATAAATTGGATTTCAAAAATGCCTCATTTAAAACATTTCTAATTGAGACTTGCTAGATTTCTAACTTAGCTTTCGAATAACGACACTTTTGTCAGCTTGTTTTTCTGAAGATGTCAATAAGAAGAAGGTTTAGAGTCTCTGATTAACATTTTCATAAAGTGTAATTTATCCTTATTAACATTATATTTTTAAGCTCACTTAATTAATAATTGGTCCTATCATAGAGTGATGAATTGCTGGT